ACATTACTTGTTGGTTATGATTAGTGGCTGTTCTCTAGGGGGTTGTGCCCCCCTTGTTCACTTTCATATGCAATGTAACACAAATACAGGTTTCAGAGTAACAGCCGTGTTAGTCTGTATTCGCAAAAAGAAAAGGAGTACTTGTAGCACCTTAGAGACTAACCAATTTATTTGAGCATGAGCTTTCGTGAGCTACAGCTCAGCTGTAGCTCACGAAAGCTCATGCTCAAATAAATTGGTTAGTCTCTAAGGTGCTACAAGTACTCCTTTTCTTTTAACACAAATACAGTTAACAATACACCATCTGCTGTGATAATTTACAGCAACACTGAGAGTTCTGACAACTGGAGTATGCCCCAACATCCGAGCCACCCCCAAAACACTGCCTCTCCTCCTTCGACAGGGTCAAAATTTTCATGTGTCCAGTTGCTGGCAGTTGCAACAAGCTGCCTCTGCATGTTTTGCGTGTTTTTGTCCATATTATAAGTTCATTGAATGTCCACAGAGAAATGGGTTATTGTCCAAACCAACTTAACCACTTGGTACGGAATCAGGCAGTATGAACTGGTTTGATTATTTACAGCAATAAGATTCACAGATCCATTTGTGCACCAAAGTCCAGATAGCAGCATGTAGATGTGCGTAGTTTGGTTATGGGCTAGTGTAATTGTGCCCCCAGTAATATGTACATTCCCAGCAAAACACCTCATACACAGTACACCCAATTGTCCACCCCTTGCCATAGGCCAATGGGGGTGCTCCTCCATAGTCATAGCAGAGGGGCACATCCAAACATCTCTTCATTTGCACCATTTCCCACACCCCTCCATTGATTCCCAGTGAGCTCCTCCCCTTCTCATTATTCCCATAGGACTTGTGGGGACCACCTTAGTTGCAGTTCCATTTCCAGGTGCCATGGTAGCTATTACACAGGTGCTGGTCTCCTAGTTGAGCATTTTGCATTCCCATACACATCTCCCCACTAGGTCAGCCTTTTGAAGCCATCCCTCACCCATGTCATGAGGTTTTTTGTTCATTGAAACACAACAAGACAAACGCCACAGACAAACAACACAAAAAAAATCCATGGTATTCTGGATTATTCTTCTGCTGGCGCCAGCTTGCTTGTAGAGTGTCTGAAAAATGAAAGAAACAATTTCCATCCCCCTTGTGGGGACAGATTATTGCTTAATAATAATACCACTTTCTTTTTACAAATCTCCTTGCTAAATGCAGGAAAAACAGAAGAATTACCTCCAGGCTGTCCTTATTTTGTTCTATAGTCAGGCTAGTGAATTACCCCACTCACTGGTCATTTATGAAATTGATGTGGTGGTGTACCTCAGTTTCCCCTCTTGTACAACAGACCGGGTTTGCAATAGTTTCTCTGCTGTACCAAGCTTTAAGTTTATTCTCAGGTAATAGCTGAGAGACAGCTTTAGATTTCTGCACTGTACACACATTCACACACACACCCCTTTGGGTTAACCTGTCCCCCTTATTTTCAGGTTTGACTTGTTTTTTCACCTCCCTTTCCTGGAGGGTCATAATTTGAGTCTTCTAGTAGTTTGTTTGCTGACCAGATGTATTTATTATTTGCAGCTCCTTTGTGCTGCTACTTATGGGCAGTTTTCTCCTTCCCCCATCAGCTAGGTAATTTGCATCCACACAGAGGCTTGTTGGCTTGCTTTTGGATCCAAAGCTATTAGCAGCTCAGAGACTATCTTAAAAGGGACACAATCCACTTCCACCAGAGCTCTGATTACTTTCCACTTTCATCTCCTGCTCCAAAACAGAGATCTGAAAAAGAAAGCACATTTAATTTTAACTAAGTACCATGTTTTGTTTGTATTTCTTTTACCCCTTCTCCAATATACACTGCACATGTCCTGGGAAAATGCACATTCCTTCCATAGTTTAACCTCCATAACATTACATTAGCCATATTAATTTTACACAAGGTGTAACTGCCTCCCCCATGCCCACAGAGTTTTCAGGCACCTCCACCAAAGCGACAGTCTGATCCCCCAGAGCCACCCCAAGGCTCAGTGTTCCCATCATTCCTCCCCTTTTCCTTTTCTTTTACCTGTGCACGCACCCAAAATTCTCTTTTGTCTAACATCCCTTGCACTGTGATTACGCTTTTTTACACAACTGTACCCTGATTACACTCCCATCTTGTACAACTAGACACAACCATGGGCAGCCAAGTTAAGTTCCAATAGAAACCCCTTACATTCCTTTAGTGATTTTGGTTACATTACCCAATGTAGTCAAATAATTTTGATCAGATTATCTCTCCGCCTGCTGCCTGCAGCAGTCCCTTATAGACCATTTCTGTGGGAAAAGGGCCCATTTTCCCTCAGAATAGCTGTAAAGACTTCTGGGTACAGAAGCATAGTGGTGGGAGTAGCCACTCTACCTGACCCCCTTGGAAAATTTAATGACCAAGCTTCCGTCCAATGTGACTGCACAGAGTTGCACATACAGTTACATTTATATAACTGGGTTTTATCATTAAACCAAAAACTTCCTTTTTGTAACACCACAACTGTTACTCTTTAACATCTTCACAACAGTTACCTTTTACTATTTCCACAACTCCCAAATGTTTTCTTTCCTCCAAACCCTGTATTATCAATTTCTACAAAAGCTATTTGTAACTTTTCACGAACTTCTTTAAATCACTTACTCCTACATTTAGTTCTTTAAGGTAGTGCAATTTGTTTGTAACAACTCAGCCACCAAGTACAATTATTGCCACACAGCTGCCTTAACCTGTGCTGTCTTTACCTTGAGACTGTTCAAAAAAGCAGTAAAATATTTGTCTCCATGGTTGCCCCTCACTGGAATGGGACTCCACTCTGTCACTCACTGGGATGGTGGGACCTGGGAAGGGTAAGCTCCTGGGCCCGCTGTCCAGCCCCAGCCTGGGCGGATAGTGAAGAGGGAGTTTGCAGCATGAACCCATGGGAGAGGAGAGGGCTTACTGAAAAGTGACCTGACAAGTCACTTTCACCTGAGCTGTCTGGTTCACCCTTGCCCTTCCAGACCGAAGCCCGAGCCAGGGCTGCAGCCTGCAGCCAGAGGAGGGAAAACTGATTTCTAGCACTTTGCTTCATACGCCGGAGAAGGACACATCACTCAGCTGTTACTGGAACTGGACAATTTTATTGAAAAATGTAACTCAGTACAAAGCAGCGGAAGCAGGACTATCTAAGGGTATGTCTACACTACGAAATTAGGTCAATTTTATAGAAGTCAATTTTTAGAAATTGATTTTATACAGTAAATTGTGTATGTCTCCACTAAGCGCATTAAGTCGGCAGAGTGTGTCCTCAATACCGTGGCTAGCATCAACTTACAAAGAGGTGCACTGTGGGTAGCTATCCCACAGTTCCCGCAGTCTCCGCTGCCCATTGAAATTCTGGGTTGCGCTCCCAATGCCTGATGGGGCAAAAACATTGTCGAGGGTGGTTCTGGGTACATGTCGTCAGTCACCCCTTCCTCCCTCCCTCCGTGAAAGCAACGGCAGACAATCATTTTGCGCCTTTTTTCCTGCCTGGGTTACCCGTGCAGACGCCGTACCATGGCAAGCATGGAGCCCGCTTAGCTCACCGCTGCTATTGTGAGCACTGTAAACACCTCGCACATTATCCTGGAGTATGTGCAGAACCAGGCTAAGAGACGCCAGCACGAGGATGATTGTGATGAGGACATGGACACAGACATGCCTGAAAGCATGGGCTGTTCCAATAGGGACATCATGGCAGCAGTGGGGCTGGTTGATACAGTGGAATGCCGATTCTGGGCCCGGCAAACAAGCACAGACTGGTGGGACCGCAGAGTATTGCAGGTATGGGATTATTCCCAGTGGCTGCGAAACTTTCGCATGTGTAAGGCCACTTTCCTTGAACTTTGTGAGTTGCTTTCCCCCACCCTGAAGTGCAGGAATACCAAGATAAGAGCTGCCTTGACAGTTGAGAAGTGAGTGGTGATAGCCCTGTGGAAGCTTGCAATTCCTGAATGCAGTCAGGAATCAATTTGCAGTGGGCAAGTCCACTGTGGGGACTGCTGTGATCCAAGTAGCTAATGCAATCACTGACGTTCTGCTATCAAGTGTAGTGACTCTGGGAAATGTGCAGGTCATACTGGATGGCTTTGCTGCAATCAGGCTCCATAACTGTGGTGGGTCTATAGACGGAACGCATATCCCTATCTTGGCACTGGACCACCTTGCCAACCAGTATGTAAACCGCAAGGGGTACTTCTCAATGGTGCTGCAAGCACTGGTGGATCACAAGGGATGTTTCACCGACATCAACGTGGGATGGCCGGGAAAGGTGCATGATGCGCGCATCTTTCGGAACTCAGGGCTGTTCGAGCAGTTGCAAGAAGGGACTTACTTCCCAGACCAGAAAATTACCATTGGGGATGTTGAAATGCCAATAGTTATCCTTCGGGACCCAGCCTACCCCTTGGTCCCATGGCTCATGAAGCCGTACACAAGCAGCCTGGACAGTAGTAAGGAGCAGTTCAACTATAGGCTGAGCAAGTGCAGAATGGTGGTAGAATGTGCCTTTGGACATTTAAAAGCTCGCTGGTGCTGTTTGCTGACTAGGTTAGACCCCAGTGCAACCAACATTCCCATTGTTATTGCTGCTTGCTGTGTGCTCCATAATATCTGTGAGAGTAAAGGGGAGACATTTATGGTGGGTTGGGAGATTGAGGCAAATCACCTGGCAGCTGATTTTGAGCAGCCAGACACGAGGGTAATTAGAAGAGCACAGCTAGGTGTGCTGCACATCAGAGAGGCTTTGAAAACCAGTTTCATGACTGGCCAGGCTACGGTGTGACAGCTGTGTGTGTTTCTTCTTGCTGCAAACCCATCTCCTTTGTTGATTTTAATTTCCTGTTAGCCAACCACCCTCCCCCCCTTCAATCACAGCTGGCAAAGGAAATAAAGTAACTATTGTTTTGAAACCATGCATTCTTTCTTTATTAATTAAAAAAAAGTGAGATAACTGACAAGGTCGCCCAGGTGGGGTGGGTTGCAGGAGGAGGGAAGGAAAAGGCCACATTGCTTATTGTAGCCACACTACAAATCAAAACTGTTTGAATGACAGCCTTCTGTTGCTTGGGCCATCCTCTGGAGTGGAGTGGCTGGGTGCCCGGAGCCTCCCCCCCTCCCCGTGCCAGCGTTCTTGGGCATCTGGGTGAGGAGGATATGGAACTTGGGGAGGAGGGCAGACGGTTATACAATGGATGCAGCGGGGGTCTGTGCTCTTATTGGCTTTTCTGCAGCTCCAACAGATGCTTCATCATGTCCATTTGCTCCCCCATTAGCCTCAGCATCGCCTCCTGCCTCTGCTCTTCGTGCTGACTTAATGCTTTCCTGGCCTCTGCCACTGAATACCTCCATGCATTAAGCTGTGCCCTATCAGTGTGGGAGGACTGCATGAGCTCAGAAAACATGTCATCGCGAGTGCATTTTTTTTTGCCTTCTAATCTGCGATAACCTCAGGGACAGAGATGATAGGGGAGCATAGAAACATTTGCACCTGGGGGGAGATAAAAAGAGAGAGTAAAATTTAAGATGATACATTTCTGAGAACAAAAGGGAATCTCTTTCACAGTGAATCAAGCAATTCACAGCAGACAGCACGTGTTTTAGGTACAAGGTCGCATTTTTTCTTTTATATTGCGCGCCCGCTGTTATGGTGACACATCACACACACACGGCTGGGCAACAGAATTCAGTTTCCAGGCAGCCATGGTAAGCCTTTTGGTACATGGGGTTGGCTTCTTCCACCTTCATAATATGTGGGAATGGTTTCAAACTGCAGCGCCCTCCTTTCCCATAGCAAGCAATGCCGGTTGGGTTTCACATTTAAAAGGAGGAGCTGCAGTTTTCGGGTGGATGTGCAGCACACACCTCCTCCCACCCCACCACATGGCTATTCTCTGGGATGATCCCTTTTAGCCAAGCGCAAACAGCCCAGCATGAACGGGGTCGTTTTACTGTTCCCTTACAAAAATTCCCCTATTTCAACCAGGTAACCATGAATAGTATCATTCTCCTGAGGTGAACACAGAAAGATATAGACTGAATGTTGCTTGAATGCAACCAAAACCCAGGACCATTCACTGCCATGCTTTGTGCTGCAGTGATTCCAGACTACTTGCTACTGGCTTGGCGTGGTAAAGTGTCCTTCCGTGGAGGATGAAATAAGGCAGCACTCCCCAGAAACCTTCTGCAAAGGCTTTCCAGGAAAGTTTCATGGAGATGTCCCTAGAGGATTCCCGCTCCAACCCCAGACATGTTAACAGACTTTTCCAGTAGCTGAACTGGCTGCGAATGCATCCCAATTCTTCAGGGCAAATCAAACATTAAACTATTGCTTTTAAACCCTGTCCTGTAGTTACAAATGTGCACTCATCAGAGGTGCCTTCTCCGGCTTCAGCGTTGGGGATCCTGCCTTGGGTGGGTATTGGCTCCAGGGTGATGAAAAGGTCCTGGCTGCCAGGGAGAACGGATTCACCGCTTGCCTGCTGCGCATTCTCCTCCTCCTCTTCCTCTTCTTCATCCATAAACTCCTCCTCCCTGTTGCGTAAGACTCCCCCCTTGCAGGTGTCCACGGACAGTGGTGGGATAATGGTAGGGTCCCCCCTAGAATGCCATGCAAGCTGATCATAGAAGCAGCTTGTATGGGGCTCTGAGATGGAGTGACTGTTTGCCTCCTTTGTCTTTTGTTAGGCTTGCCTGAGCTCCTTAACTTTCAAGCAGCACTGCTGTGTGTCCCTGGTGTAGCCTCTCTCCACCATGCCCTGTGAGATTTTGGCATATATATCAGCATTTCTTCTTTTTGATTGGAGTTCGGCTTGCACAGATTCTTCTCCCCGTACAGCGATCAGCTCCAGTGTCTCCCTTTCAGGGCCGGAGGGAAGGGTAAATGGCGGTGGGGGGGGGGGGTGCTCCCAGCAGTGCCTCAGAGAAAACTCCTGGGAGGTAGGGAAAAGGAGGGGTCCCAACACCCAGGGCACAGCCAGTGCCAGCTGGGAGAGGCTGCTGGCACGTTCAGTACAAATACCTCTTCACTCTTAGTTACCCATCCGCCCCCCACCCGCAGCCAGAGAATTCGCCAGGGTGCCAGCTGAACCAGCTGGAGGAATCCGTTGGGTTTGAAGGAGGAACGGAGCCCAGTGGGGTTTCTCCAGCCGGCGGGAATGAGGGTGCCTCAGAGCCAGGGTGCAATAGATCAAAGACAAAGTATCTACAAACAGAAACGAGAGTCTTAGCCAGGGTCTTGCTTCCCCTCGCCAGCAGCCCTGAGGGAGACGGAGCAGTTCCTCCTCCACCCAGCCATTGGAATGACAGTCAAAGTCTGGTGAGCAGCCAGCCAACCATCGTCCTTGGGGCAGCAAGGGGTGGCCATGTTGCCCTGGGGTCCTAAGGGCTACAGAGAGCAGCGGCGGGGCAGTGACTGTCAGAAGCAGCCTGATGAATGGATCAGGGCAGGCGGGAGGGGTGCTGGGCTGCCTCCCTCACACGTAGTTCCTCTTGTCGTAGCTGGGCCCGGTGGATCTGGAAACGGAGTAAGCCACCTTGGCTGGAGCGTACTTCTCATCCTTGGGGGGGCAGGAGCAGCAGAGCAGAGCCCCCCCAAACAGCTGCAGTACTGCAGCTGCCCAGCCCACGTAGAGGGAGGCTCCCAGGTCCCGCTTCAGTGACTCTATCACCACAGGATTGTAGAAGTCGCGGATGATGATGTTGGCCGACCAGCACACGGGGATGAGGGTCATGATCCCAGCCAGCAAGAAGATCACCCCAGACATGATGGTGATCTTGGCCTTGGTTGTCTCATCTTCCACGCACCTGGTGCACTGCGCTCCGATGAGGGCAACCATGAAGCCCAGCATGGCCAGCACGATGGCGATCACCACCAGGGCACGAGCCGCCTGCAGATCCTGGGGCAACGCCAGCACGGAGTCGTAGACCTTGAACTGCATCTGGCCCGTGCTCTGCACCACGCAGTTCATCCACAGCCCCTCCCAGATGAGCTGGGCTGTCACGATGTTGTCCCCGACGAAGGCCGTCACCCTCCACATGGGCATTGCACAGCACACGATGGTGCCCACCCAGCCCAACACCGACAGGGCCACCCCACTGATCTCCAGCCCCATCGACATGTTGCCACGCCCTAGATACTTTCAAGCCAATGGCAGAAAGGGAGCGGGACTCCTTAGCTGGCAGCACCTGCAGGCCCCTGTCGCTGTCTGTGTAGGCTCCAGAGGATCCGCTCACTCCTGAGTGTACCTGTGTCGGTGGCTGCCTTATATCAGTGAGTGGAGCCAGGGCTGGGCTGCATTACCTCAGTGCTACTCACTCACGCAGGGGTGGGGTTTCACCAACGGACTCTTTTCCTTTCGCTGACTCCTCTGCCACCACCCCAGCCCCACTCCCCCTTTGTTTATGGAGATGGCATTGGTGAGAGAGGAGAATGGGGGAGGAGGCAAGGAGTGGAGCTGGAACCCTTCCCCGCTGGGCCCTGAGTTCCAGCCTGCTGCTTTCATGGCCATCCCTGGTGACAGATGCTCGCTGGGCTAGTGCCAGGCAGACACAGTGCTGGGGATTAGGAGAAAGACTGGAGTGGATTCCTGTGCTTCCTGGAAAGGGCTGCCTGGGGGTGTCATCTCAGACTCCAGGGAGAATGCAGCAGACCCTGTAAAGGGCAGGAATGGAACACGCTGCTTTTAGTAGCTGCTCGTGTTCCAGGGTCAGAGTGGAGGCCATAAACCCAACTCTCTTTCCAGACTGGTGAGGCCCATGGACACATGCCCGAGAATCCACTCCTCAGGCATCAGCTGGTGACAGGCAGCAGGAAAGCCACCAGCCTCACCAAGGCATCCCCCCAGCACCAAGCCATCAGCCTGCATACCTGCCAGAATCGACTGTCACAGACACACGCAATCAGTATAGACGCAGCAAAGTCCTGCCGTTAGGAGCCAGCCCTGGTGCAGTGACCTCCTGCTGCTCTGTCGGTGTGGGCAGTGGTCTCAAAGGTGTGGGAGAACACACCAGCCCCATCCCACCAGGCTGAGTGAAGTCACAGCTCTCCTTGCCTCTGGACGAGGGAGGAGTTCTCTATTCTCCACCCCATCCACTTTCCCCTTCTCCTCCCGACTGGAAAATGCGAAAGGAAAAAAGAGACAGTAGCAAGATTGGGAGGAGGAGGAGAGGGGCTGGGCTGAGCGGATTTTAGGGGGAAAAGACCTGCTGGGCTGGAGACAGATGGAGATTATTTCCCTATTCTTCCCCCTGGGAAATCTCTCCATCCTCCCCCAGGCAAAGCTAGCAGAGCTGCTCTCCACAAAGGGGACCTATCCCACAAGCCCACATGTGACTGTCACACCCCAGGCTGAGTCTTTAATGTTCCCGCTGCTCCAAACACACCAGCCAATTAACACGCCTGTCCCACCCCCAATTCCTTCTGCCTCCCTGCCCCCCCAACCGATTTGTATAACCGACCCAAGCTCCTGTCCCGGGGGGTGGCGGGTACTGGCGAGGATCCTGGCCATGAGCCCTGTCCTTCACTGGCTCAGAGGCTAGCATTCAGATGGGCCTGATCACAGCTGCTCTCTCCACAGGGCAGTGGATCTCAGACCAGGACCACTCTGGAGCACAAGGCAGGACTGCTCATTAATCAGGAGCACGAGAGAGGGGTGCAAACTACACAAGAGCTGGAAACACAAAAGACAACCGACTTCACACCAGCATGTAATCAGGAAGGTGATGTGGGCAGGATGCCCCCACAGCTGGTAAAAGCATAGGATGACTCACAGAGCCAGCCAGGCTCATGGGTTAGCAGTACAAGGATGTGGCAGATACATGTCAATTGGTTCATTGGCTGCAACCATAGCTCTCTTGCTGTGGGTAAACTCATCCCACCACAGTGATCCCACTTCCAAAGTGTTAACACGCTGTTGGATTCTCAGCAAAGCTGGAGGGCAGACACTTGAATATGGAGTAACTCAAGCTGACCTGCAACAAATGTCAAGGGGAGGCCAGTCCGTAGCACTTACACCACTGGGACAGGCCCTTATGACTGCTTCTGTCGAAGCCACTCATGTTTCAAAGCCCTTTTCATCATGAGAAAAGAAGGACTTGTGGCACCTTAGAGACTAACCAATTGATTTGAGCATAAGCTTTCGTGAGCTACAGCTCACTTCATCGGATGCATTCAGTGGAAAATACAGTGGGGAGATTTATATACACAGAGAACATGAAACGATGGGTGTTACCATACACACTGTAACGAGAGTGATCACTTAAGGTGAGCTATTACCAGCAGGAGAAGTGTGGGGGGGGGGAGGGAAACCTTTTGTAGTGATAATCAAGGTGGGCCATTTCCAGCAGTTGACAAGAATGTCTGCGGAGCGGGGTAGGGGTGGGGGATAAACAAGGGGAAATAGTTTTACTTTGTGCAATGACCCATCCACTCCCAGTCTCTATTCAAGCCTAAGGGACATAGCTGTCAGGCCTGGATTCACAAAGAGATGTAGGCGCAGTGCTGCTAAGCATTGCCATGCTGAACTGTATGTGCCTTGAAAATCCCTGGAACACATTGCCATCCACTCAGCCTGCATCCCGCACCCAGGCTCCCCATATAACACAAAGGAAGAGAGGGACAGGAGCCACAAAAGCCAGCATGTTAGGTGGGGATAGCCAATGGGAGATGTGTATCTTAAACCACGCCCCTTTCTCAGAGGTGGGTGCCTAAGTCCGGGCTGCAGGGAGGTTAGCAGTCCCTGAACAGGGAGTCAGACGGCTGGTGTGCCCAAGAGGTTCCTTGTGAGAATGAGACCGGTACCTGCCTCACTACAAAACGGCCGGAGGAGGAGGTGATGCTGCCGCCCACCTTGCAACTTTTAGCCCAGGGCTCAGAGCACTGGCCTGTGACGTGGATGACTCAGGTTCAGTCCCCCTTCTGCCAGAGGGGAGAAGGGATTTGAACAGAGGTCTTGGGGGGAGGGGCACATGAGCTGTAACCACTAAGCTCTGGGATACTCTGACATGGGACTTATCTCTTACTCAGGATAAATGGTCACTTGGCCAGAGAGAGAGTGAGTGCATGAGGATGGCTCTTGGCCTGGTGGAGAGGGCATCCACCTGGGAGATGCAGGGACCAGTCCCCCCGCTCCACAGACTTGTTAATTATTGAATCCACCAGCTTCAATAGGAGAGATGGTGGGAGCCCCATTTCAGAGTATCCCATTGCTCAGTGGCTAGCGCACACTCCTGGGAGGTGGGAGACCCCTGTTCAAATCCGTGCCCTACTTTGGCAGAGGTGGGACTTGAACCTCCGTCTCCCACATCCCAGGTGAGTGCTCTAACCACTGGGCTGAAAGGAACTGCCTCCTGCCAGGTTTTGAATGGGAGCTGATCTGGAAGGCGACCTACAGGCACACCTACTGGATTGCACCTTGCACTTGAGCTAGGTGAGTGAAAGCCTTTCTTCCCCCCACTGGGGCTTAGGCAGGAGGTGGGTGTCTGGGCACCTAGAGGAGGCAGCAGGCACATGCTCAGAGGCAGAAACTTAGGCACTAAGGGAATGTATACCCTGAAATCCACCACATGAGTTTAGTCACCTCCAGGCATCAGTGCACGGGAGCATTGTGGATCACAGTGGAGCCTAAAATGGACTTGGGCACTGAAACCCTAGATGAGGCCCCTACGTACCTTTGTGGATCTGTGGGCCTTAGTGTTTACAGACTGGGAGGCAGTATTGGCCCAAGATCCTGTGAGAAGAGACATGAGAATGAACAGAATCTCCAGGCAGCAGGAGCTAACAGCTGGCTCGAGGTTAGCCGGTCAGGCTGGCCTGAGTTGAGATGCTCTGTCTATATGTTGACTATGACTCCTGTTAAGTTACTAGCAATGAATGATCATAAAGACTAGTGGATTGCTTGAACATAAAACGTTTCATGGTCCCAGGAGTGGGGTAAGTGATACAAGGAACTGGAAGAATGAAAAAACACACAAACACCTTAGGTTTGAATGAAATAAGATGGATCAATTAAGCGTACCCACATTTTTAAACAAAAGTTCAGAAATGCTGCAGAAAACTGGAAAAGGTTTAAATGAGAATTTGATTTATTTTTGAGGACATTGGGATCTGCTCACTAGGAAGATGAACAAAACATTGCCATCTTGTTGAGTATTGTGGGTACTGAAGCAATTTCATTACATAATTCATTTGAGCTTAATGTTAGAGAACAAGCTGGCTATGAGTTTTTCTTTAAAAAAATACTGTTTACCAAAAAGAAATGAAACATTTGAAAGATTTCAGTTTCACTCGAGAAATCAAATGGAGGAAGAGACTTTTGAATAATTTTAACAGATGTAAAGATAAGACGTCAGACATGTAATTTCCAGAGTCAATCTGAGTCAATGACAGGAAATCAGATTGTGATGGCCATCGAAATATCAGTGTAAGAAAAAGACTGTTAGAAGAGCCTGATCTAAATCTGGAAAGAGCAGTGAGAATTTGCCAAACTGCTAAACTTAATCAACAACGATTGCACTTTTTAAAAAGAAAACAGAGTGATGTGAATATAGACTTAATAAGGAAAAGGAAACAACAAGACTATGGAGAAAAACTGAGTGAAAGTATTAAAGGTAAAAAAATGAACATATGAAAAAATGTTCTAGATGTGGAAGGAAGCACCATAGAATCATAGACTATCAGGGTTGGAAGGGACCTTATCAGGGCATCTAGTCCAACCCCCTGCTCAAAGCAGGACCAATCCCCAACTAAATCATCCCAGCCAGGGCTTTGTCAAGCCTGACCTTAAAAACTTCTAAGGAAGGAGATTCCACCACCTCCCTAGGTAACGCATTCCAGTGTTTCACCACCATCCTAGTGAAAAAGTTTTTCCTAATATCCAATCTAAACCTCCCCCACTGCAACTTGAGACCATTACTCCTTGTTCTGTCATCTGCTACCATTGAGAACAATCTAGATCCATCCTCTTTGGAACCCCCTTTCAGGTAGTTGAAAGCAGCTATCAAATCCCCCCTCATTCTTCTTTTCCATAGACTAAACAATCCCAGCTCCCTCCAGCCTCTCCTCATAAGTCATGTGTTCCAGTCCCCTAATCATTTTTGTTGCGGGACACTTTCCAATTTTTCCACATCCTTCTTTTAGTGTGGCCCAAAACTGGACACAGTACTCCAGATGAGGCCTCACCAATGTCGAATAGAGGGGAACGATCACGTCCCTCCATCTGCTGGCAATGCCCCTACTCGTACAGCCCAAAATGCCGTTAGCCTTCTTGGCAACAAGGGCACACTGTTGACTCATATCCAGCTTTTCATCCACTGTAACCCCTAGGTCCTTTTCTATAGCACTGCTTCCGAGCCATTCGGTCCCTAGTCTGTAGCGGTGCCTGGGATTCTTCCGTCCTAAGTGCAGGACTCTGCACTTGTCCTTGTTGAACCTCATCAGATTTCTTTTGGCCCAATCCTCCAATTTGTTTAGGTCCCTCTGTATCCTATCCCTCTCCTCCAGCGTATCTACCACTCCTCCCAGTTT